ATCAACGATAGATTAATATTTGAAATTAAATTACCCTTATGTAATAGCGAAAATTACACCATGTACCATATTTTACCACTATATATTCCTATCAATAAGAACAACCAATTTGTCCATCTAGTTCAGCATAACAAATATTTAATTACCGATATAAAAGTAGATACGTATGTAGAAATTAATGATATAAAAAGCGTTTGTAAAATAATAGATATTTTTTTTATTTGCGAAACAGACAACATAGAGTACAATAGACAGAATAAACCAAATTGTGAAATTGACCTACTTAATAATTATTATAAAATACCGTCGACTTGTAATATGTATGTTACAGAATTTACATCGGAGACGTGGTATACATCATATTTTAATAACCACTGGTATTTCGTTTGTAGTCAGCCTACTCTACTGACAATTATTTGCAAAAAATATAGTTTTATTAAAAAAATAATTATAAAAAATTCTGGCAAGTTGTGGTTAGAAAAAAACTGCATGGCCTCTACACCCAGTAGTAGTTTAAAACCCATTAGTTCGTATACCTCTAATTACAAGTCCTTACCTATAATGATTTCGCTGATAGAGGATAAATGTTGTTCAGAAATAAAAAATAAAACAATTCCTAAACCCGTTCACTTAGAAGTTCTAAAAAATATAAAAATTAATGAACAGTCTTTACACAAATTAAATTTAGAGTTAGATGAGGAAGGAAAATTAGCTACAAAATTATATGATAATATATATAAATATTTAATTGATAAGGCCTTAGATTTTTCTTTTGTGACTATTTTTTTTATAATTATAATCCTTGTTTTAATATGTATAATAATATACTATAAATATTTTGTAAATAAAAAGCCAGTTTCAAATGTTCAGGTCATAGAATTAGGTAGACGCGATCCTTTGGATACCATTAATAACCCTTTAAATTATGCACCTGATAATTTTATGCGCGAAAAATAAGTCATGATGTACAACGTAAAATTAATTGTATTTTATTTTATATTTATATATCAATATATATTATTATATACCTACTATAAATGTAAAAAAAGTTTTGATTATTTTGTGTGTCAATTATAATTGAAACTATTTTATATTTTACACAATAATATATATGTATAAATGTACTTAAATTATACTTTTTTATTAAAGTTGTAAATTAAATATTTTTGATCTTTTAATGTATCGTTATTTACTATCATAATACATATAAAATTACCACACTAGATTTGAGTCGATTTCACTATTTTTAGCTAAATTACAGCAAGTCTGTGTAAAAAACAAAATAATCAAAAAGAGGTACCAATACGTTTATCCAACAATGATACATTATTATAACAAAAGTAATAAAGCTATCAAAATGATTCAAACTATGTTGGATATTGTATTTTCTATTCTGTTTGTTGTTTCATACATTTGAATAAACAGTAGCTATTTTAAATACTATTCCGAGACATGCGCGCGAGCTTGCGCAATAGCGAGTGTTATAACGCAGTGCCGCAGTCAACACCTACCCGGTCTTTTTTTTTTTGTGTTTTAACATTTTTGGGGGAAAAGGAGTAGATTCTTCCAAATCTTACCCCTCTATGTACCAACTATATCTAATTACTGATCGATTGATGTGCCACTCGATTAAATCGGTATATCGGGTTAAAAGTTACAGTAGTTCAAAGTTAGGTACAGCGTACGGATAGCACAGCACAGCTCACCTAACCCGGTCCGGGCTAAAAATCAGTATTTTAGAATATTATAAAGTAACAGAAATAATATCGGATATCGATAAATGCAATATAAATAATAAAAAAACTATTGTAGATAAGAGGAAATATGTAATATTATTACCTGCCGCCTAAAACCGGTTTTGGTCGTGGTCGGCGGCCGCCGCCTTCGTGTTCACGTGAATTGCAACCCGCTAGGAGCTGCCCCCACCACCACTGCCGCCGCCGCGTCACACTGCATGTGTTTTAAAGTCGCCGCTAGGATCGCCACAAACTGGTACTAATAACTACTAAAATTTGACTAAAACATGTCTCAGGATATGCAATTTTCTGAGAAACTGAGTGGTTTTAGCGCATACTTGCTTATTAACAAAATTAAAGATGAAGAGTTTATCTACATATTAACAGAGGTTTTTTTCGATAAAATGTTTTAAAACGAAGATATACGCTATTGAAAAATGAAAACTTCAAAGATCTATAACTCGGTTCCTAGTAACATAATCGAAAAAAACCTATGTTAATATGTAGATAAACTTCTAATCTTTAATTTTGTTCATTAGCAAGTATACGCTAAACCTACTCGGTTTCCCAGAAAGTTGCATATCCTGAGACATGTTTTACGCGCCGAAAAAAAGTGGTGTGACGCCCTCTTAATACATACATTCGAGTAATATAATATATATATATATATATATATATATATACAAAACTTGTGTGGGGTTTTACTTCCAATTAAGTAGCCCCATTTAAAATTTATCAAGCGTTTATATGTGTAACACAGACCTTATTTTTAATTCAAGTAATTAGGTTTACCCCACAGCTATCTATACCATATACTGTCTTACATTAAAGCTATGACAAATATCTATCGTCTCACTATTAGAGTGTAGCGTTATATTGTTTATTCCTGTTCACAGCAAGATCTTAAGCTTGGTTCATTTCATACTACCGTATTACTTGATTTTTAAATATAATACTAATTTAATTCCAACGCAGCTTGGCTCAGCCAAAAAATTACACATTTTCATTTAGAACCATTTGGATCAAAGACCTCGCAATTACACCAATGGACAACAGTATATTATGGTTGCTATATTATTATTATTATTAGACTGGTGGTCAGTCTGTAGGTATAGCGTTTCCTTCACACGCGGGTTGATCCGACCTCGCGTGGCGGTGTTACGGTGAATCGGAACACCCATTAAAACAATATTATATTATTTTCTTCCGGTAAAATATAAGAATAATAATATATTATACATTTTAACACAACAATCGGTTACGACAAAGAATTAAAAAAAAAACATGTTATCCTTTGGTTAACAAGACCTTGTGCTCAGACACGATGTAGGTATGTGATATATTAGGCGAAACACTTATTATGCACGTGCGGCACACGAAACGTCTGTCTGTTGTTTATATAGTGCGATTAAAAAACGTTTTCCAAAACGTCCCTTTTTTGGACAAAGGTAGTCGAAAATGTAAATTACTCGTTTTTTTTTCAAAAACGTACTTACCGCTTGTACGGCTGCGATTGTAATCTGACATCACCTAAGACGTCGAAGCGCACTTTATCCCAAGTCTTCGAGTTATAAAAAAAAACAAACTAAATCGACGGTTCCATGCAAACACACTAAGCAGTAGAAAAACGCTTATATATATATATATATATATATATATATATATATATACATGTATGAGTTATATGCTGTTGTCCAAGAAAATAATTGCTTTAAAAAATATGATTAGTAATAAAAAAATGTACACCGACAATATATTCCATGAAAAAATTATCATGTTAAACCCCTCCCCCCCAAAAAAAAAAACCCATTTTCTATCTAAACTACAAACTAAATGTCTAATATAAGAGTAAAAAAAATATCTAAAAAATTGTCATGTTATTGAAGTTGAAATGATAAAAGGAAATACATATAAAAAAAAAGCAGATGTATATTGATTATTTATAAAACTTAAAATACAATATTAATATAAATTATAAATTCACTATACTACTTTGGATTATACTTGGTTTCAAATTTATGGGGGGGGGGGGGAATTCGCAATATTTGTTTTTCTGTCAATTTAATTTCACAAATTCTGTGGAGGATTCATAACGTAGGCCTAGCCCCTCTTTGCCACCCTCCCTTAATTTCGCCATTTAATACCAAATCTCAAAAAAACTAATTAAAAATAGCAATGGCATAAAATTGTATACATTGTAATACATCTCATTGTAATTGTAACATCGTATACTTATTGTTCCAATTTACTTGTACAAATTGGTACAATCTTTCTAATAAAAAAAAAAAAAGATTTAACCTTGCTGTGTGGAAAGAGAATAATTAACATTTGTGATGGAATCATTATGTAACTATTAAAATTTTTGTATAAATGTGTTGTACTACTTTTCCACGTAGGATTTGTTTACTAAACAATTTTTATTAGTTATATCTATTAATCCGGTTCTATCAATTAGTCCTATTAAGTATAAGTCATACATTTATAATATACAAATAATTTGCATAAAAATTTTTGCTGAGCAAGTAATTAAAAAATCTAAACCTAATTAGAAAATGTTCGAATAATATCAATTTTTCTAGATTTTCTCTTCTAGTGTTGTTTTTAAGACATTTGCTTAAAGCTTTATTTCTATTTAGAAACTATTTGATTACTATTGTATTCGATCTGTTTATCTAATTTTTTTATTTTTTAAAACACATTTTAAACTAATGTATGGTAGATGTGTGGAGTAGGAAATTTCAATGACCGGATTTAATAATAACGCGAATACAAGAAAAAAAGTATGTACTTGTGTAAAAAATAACATTGTTCGGTAAACAAATTGTTGCTATATTTTACTAAAACGTTGCAAGCTGTGTAGTATATAATTGAAGAATTTTTCTACTGAGACGCTCACACTACAAGATATTAGAATTTTCTTCTTCTTCTCTGTCGTATCATTGGTGTGCTGTGTCAAATTTCAATTTTTTTTAGCCAATTTGAACCATTTTGTTTAACTGTTTCATTATCTCTACCCTCTTCATTTGGCCTCTTCGTTGTACATATTAACTCATTGGAATAATAACGAACATTTTTGCGGATTTCAACGTTTACCCGAAACGTATCATCACGGAGGAGATTTAACCATACGTGACGATGAACAAAAAATCCGATACTAATAATAATAATAATAAGAAGAAGAAGAAGAAGGAAAAAGCAAATACTTAAACAGGTTCCGCGGTCTGTGACGTTGGTGTACAGGGGCCGGCAGAGCAAACCCGTGTGTGGCCAGTACAAGTGCGGTTGGCGTAGTGCAATATCATCATTGCTTTTGGCGGCATCGCCAATTAAATGTAGACTATACCGCTAAGTCTACAGTTTTAACTTTTTTCATATTTAATTATTATTTCATAATCGTTTGAATGTGTTGTTGTTTTTAAATGGTCGTTAGTTTAGACGAGCTGTCTGTCCGTCGTCGTCAAAACCAACAATCCGAGTCGACTACCTCGACTAGTTCACTGTTCTTGCACACATACTTTGACTAGGTGCATTGGAAACTCGAGAAAAACAAAAGTAAGTGCGAAACGTCAAGAAGTTAAACACCTGTAATGTGGTGTTCTAATAATTAGGAATCATTTTTGGCAGCGCTTTTAATTATGTTTTCTGTGGTTTTAAAGCAAAAACGCCCATTAAGAAATTGAAAAATTAAAAAAAATTTAACAACTAAGACTTGTTTTTTTTTTAATATGCTCAATATTTAGCTTGATACTTTAAGTAAAAAAAAAAAAGTATTTTTTTTACAGCGATAACTATTTTCTAAGAATAAAATATATATATCACTGTCTCTTTTATTTTCATTGTGGATGATTTTGCTCTAAAACCTCCATTGGCCGAGTAAAACCCATTCTGCATATTCAGGTTTTATGCTAGAAATTGGGTGGTAAATGCAAAATATACTTAGAATATTCTCCGCTTCCACGAGGAGGTATATTGTTTTTCTATTGTCTGTTTTGATATCTAAACCCGGGATATATCTACTAAGCCGCTGAACCGATTCCTTCAAGTAGCAAGTCTATACAAATCAGAAATTGTATAATAATATGTAAGATACTTTATTTGGGCGAAAATTAAAAAAAATTCACCCCTTTAAAATCGAGAAAACCCTTAAAAAATGTGCATATAATTAAAAAAATCGAATTTGCATGGAACATTTTTTTTAAAGGGTATAAACTGACAAACCTATCATTAACCCTTTCTTCCATAACAACTTAGTTTTGACTATCAGATTTTGATTGAGGTTTGAAACTAATGATTTGTTGAAAACAAAAAAAAAAGGAAGGGATTTCAAGATTTGAGTTGCTCAACTCTGATTTTATTACACTATCAACACGCCTTGCGTAAATATAATACCCCATTCAAATTTTAATAATCTAATTTTATTTCCAACATCGCCCAAAGCTGTTGTTTACGCGGACAATGAAAAACAAGTGTTGAAACAACGACCTAAGCTGCATAAAGAAAATCCGAATTAACAACATTTAAACGCTAAACATAATTAACAGGCTTCGAGCAAAACCGCATTTCAACCATTCGAACTTGACTAAAGTTTAAAAAAAAAAAAACAACCTCCGTTTTATCCTTAATAATAATTAAACATCATTAATATAAATAGGTAATTAATTATTGTAATTTATAAAAAAATAATCAGATTTTTGACGTTAATATAATCAATCTACATATTTTAATTAATCTCAACCTTCTTGCATAATTAAAAAGTACAACGTTTGCGCTACCCAATCGAATATTAGTAAAATTCTGAGTTAACAAACAAAATTTCCGGATTTGTATTTCAGCAAAAATGTAAAAAAATTGTATTTTAAATACATGTTACAACGTTATACTAAAAATTTGTGCTACCAAGTCCAAACTGAACGAGGAAATCTACCAAATGTCATTTATTTTCCGTTTTAGTATTGTTCAAAAAGTACAATATTCCTATGTCAGTTTATTAAAATAGTTGCAAGACTTGAAAAAAATAGGATCAGAGATTTTTTTGATAATCAAATTCATGTTTATTTCAAAACTATATTCTAAGCACACTAATGGAATACACAAATACTTTAAAAGTTTCCAGTAACATTTGTTAAGTCATATTTAGCATATTAAAATATATATATCTCAAGTCTTATAATAAAATTTTTTTTTTCTTTGGTACAAAAACGTGTAATTTGTATACATACCAAATAATTACAGTGTACCATTACTGAACGTTATAATTTAGAATGAGTTAGGTATATTAGGTGTACAGGATAATAAAAAACTGATGTTGCCTGGTCCTTGAACCTAACCGCTATTGGCCATACAGTTTCTCACTCTTGTAAGCAGTATCCTCGTATCCGCCTAATTGATTAGACGTTTCCACCGGAAATATCAAAAAAAAAAAACACCCAAAAGTCGCTATTTCATACTTACGCTGTATGTGTGCAATTATAAGGTAAGATTTCGTTTTTATTAACCTCCTCATGTTTAACTTTTATTTATCAGCGTTAAGGATTCTTCGAGGGGGGGGGGAATGTTAATTTTCAAAAAACGTATTAATTTCCATTCCAAAACGCACCGGGGGGTCTATTTTAAGTAATAAATCTTAGCACGTCCTTGATCAACAGTGATGTCAAAGATTTTTCTGGTTATAGTTTCGTAAAATACTTTGACCTCTGACAAAAAAAAATGAAGAATGTAGTTTTTTATGGGATGTCAACTCTGAAAGTATAGTTGAAAAATTATATATTTTGCGACAACGCGAAAACAATTTTTTTTTTTTTTAAAGCCACTCAGTCAAGTTAAAAAAAAAAAATTAAGACGAGTTTTGAATCGAGTGATCAAGTAGTTTTGTTCTAAAACCTAATGTATCATTTTGAAAATAAAACTGTTTGTTGCCTTGTAACAATGTTGTGTCGTTTTGAGACTTTTTGAGAACTGGGCGACTCATTTTTATGTTTTTTTTTTTTAAACAAAAGCCTGTTATGGAAAACATTTTTAATAGTTTTATATATTTTAAGAAAAACGTTTCGTTGAATTTTTCAATCAATCAGTCAATTCAAATCGACGGCCAAACCTCCGAGTCTCGTTTTTGACATTTAGAGATAGGACAAACATAGTCTGAATGGTAGTGGTTTTTTTTTAAGTTTTAACAGAACAGAAAGCTTAAAAATTCCACTTGAACAAATAAACAATTATTTACAAATTACAAGTTAGTATTATTAATTTTCTCTCAACGTTGTATCCGTTTTCTCGTTTTACCCTTCGAGGGTGTAATACAATTAAATTTAAAAAAATTATTGCAAATATTCACAAAAATCCTTTACATTTATGATAACTCATTAACTAAATAACTATAGCAAATTACTCGGTTACTTCCCACGAGAGACTTTAACGCGTGTTGTGATTATAGCTACTGAGTAATTTTATAAAATTGTTGTAAAACTATAACGTATTGTTTTTGTTTATTATTATAATTTACTAAATAGGTTAGATTACTATACTAGTCAGTGTCATTAAAAAATTACTATTATACACACAAGTCATGAGCGCTGTAAGGTGCGTTAGCGCCTATCCAAGGTTGAAACGTGGAGTCCATTATTGCCTGCTTTTGGACCTGTCACTTATTAAAAAATCAATTTCTCACAATAATTGTCACTGTATTCTAGTTAATTCTTTAATTAAAAATATATAACCAGAGTGTTAAGTGAATAGACAATGCAAATGATAGGTAACTACCATACAAAAAATTGCGATGTTAACATAAGATTGTGCAATGAATTAAGTGGTCTTTTAAAAAAACCAATTTATGCCGTCAATCCGGTATGCATCTAGCACTAGAATATGATTTTCATTCTTAATTTTTCTTGTACTTAGTAGAGTGAGAGTTCAACAAAGACTTGACAAATCAATAGTACACGTGTATCAGGATATCTCTTTATTCCTTTTCCTTTGACAATGTTTGTTTATTAAAAGTATTTTTATGTTTGTGGTTCATAAACCGTTAAACAGTTTATAGCTAATGGCAATTCATACTTTAGCTTGGACCAAAAGCTGAGTAGGTATTCATTTTTGAAAGAATTCCAAAAAAAGACAACCTGAGTCTTATATATTTTATACTTGGGAATGAATTATTTTAAATCGTTTACACTGATATATAGTAAAAGAAGCACAATATACATTTTAAGTTGATAATCATTTTTTAATACAATTCATGTACATAATGTTTTAAAGTAAGTAGTCAAACTGGGTTTTTTCCGAGATGATATTATTTTATTAATGTATAAAATTGTCTTTTAAAACTTGACACATGCCATAATAATTAATACTGTCTCGGTTTGTATAGGTACATACATGTTTGACTCGTTCTTAATCGCTATTGTCATCATCAGTCTTATCATTTATATCCTCTTTGGTAATCGAGAATAGCTTATAAAATATTATGTATAATATTTTCTTTACAAAACACATTTACTAAACGCGAATCCCACAAACCAAGGTCTGTATAATCCGTATAGGATTCGACCATAGGAGAATATGATCAATCCTACTTTTATTCAATATCTATAATAAAGATAATAATATTAAAGTGAATTATTCGCAGCACCACTGTAACCACAACGTTTCCCGAGTTTGGAAATCCCACTGTTATGACAGCACGTATGATAGCATATTCATCGACAGTGGTTCTCAAAATTATACAATGAGTCTTCCATGGAAAAATACATGGAATTGAATAAGAAATGTAATTTTTGTAGTACTTTCCCTAGCACATAAAGACACGCCTTTAATGTATTTATTATTAGCCACTGGGCAGAGTTTGTGATTTGTGAATTGGACAAACAATAAGACACAAAATGTAAAGAGCTAACTATTTACTATATAGACAAGAATAATATATTAAATGTAGATGAGAAATCATAGGCACTTGATAAGGGCAACATTTGGAGAAAAAAACAGTGGTCAAACAAGTTTTTTCTTTACTAAGCCAGCAAGACTTTTCTAGTTGTTATTTCTTTAAAAACTAAAAAAAAAATTAAAAATAAAACCCCCAAAATTTCCTTATGATATCGAACAGGGGCCATTACAATAGTCTGTATGCGTTGGCATAATATTCGGTCGCATAACGATTGTGAACTTGACCATTAGCTGACTGGACTAATGACGTGAACTGCAAAAAAAAGTAGTCGGTGACGTCAAGTAATTATTATAATAGTAGAAAATTATGCGGCGGCGGCGGTTAAAACGTTATTCAAATATTATATTCATGTTTGTATAAATTTAAGAATGGAAAACCTGTTGAAATGGATTTACCAGCTACCTAAACGTCCAGTTATATAAAACAAAAAAATACACAGCCAACAGACGGTACTGGATCTGATCAACATTTATTACAACAGACATCATTATTGTTATCAACATAAAAAAAATGCATTATAATATTTTCCTAAGGCGTGTCTGTACCGAGTACGGTATAATCCAACCGCATCATATAAACCAGTTTAGTAATAAGTTAGCACTCGAATAATAATTGC